GGCACCCCAGAAATGTCTGGCAGTATGTATGTGATATGATTGTATGGTATGTGGTATGATGGGGGAACTCACTAAGCTTTGTGCTTACGGTTTTCAGTTTTGGTTTCAGGTACTTCGTGTCTAAAGGAAAGGAGCCGGCTTGATCGCAGCGCATCACACTATGGTTTTCTGCACATGAGATCTTTGGGATTACACTCTGATATTGTTTTATGATAACATGTTTAATTATTTCTACTTTGGTTTTGACATGACATGACATTACAAATGTTTTATTACACTGTTGGTTTTATAATGACGTATTTAAAAGTGAAACTTTTGGCCTGTATTTTTGGGATGTTACATCTTGCAAACAAGACCCGATATGACATATGCGGTTGGAGTTGTTAGCCGATATATGCAAAGTCCAAGAGAATCACACGGTGGTGCAATCAAACACATTCTAAGGTACTTACGAGGAACAACGGGATACGAAATTAAGTACGAGAGAATGGTACAAAAGCGGTTTATTGGTTATAGTGATAGTAGTCACAATGTTGACCCGGATGACGGAAGAAGCACAACCGGTCACATTTTCTACTATGGGACATCACCAATTACATGGTGTTCACAAAAGCAAGATACCGTTGCTTTATCATCTTGCGAGGCGGAGTTCATGGCAGCCACAACGAGTGCATGTCAAGCAATATGGCTTCAAGATTTGCTTGGGGAAATCATGAACAAAGCACAAGAGAAAGTTATTCTTAGAGTTGATAACAAGTCGACTATCGAACTAACAAAGAATCCCGTTTTTAATGGAAGGAGTAAACACATTCACACGAGGTTTCACTTCATTCGTAATTGTGTTGAAAGGGAACAAGTGGAGGTGGAATACATTCCCGGTGAAGAATAAATGGCAGATATTCTTACGAAACCATTAGCTCGAACCAAGTTCAAGGAAATGTGGAGCTTGATCGGGGTTGAAGAATTCTCTAGAAGGACTTAGAGATTCGGGGGTGATTGTTGGAATCCTAAGTCACGTAGGACCTTGGAGACCAAGTAATCGTTAAATATGGCAAGTTGGTCATGTTTCCTAATTGTAATCTTATTCTACGAGTTGGTAGTTTAGGAGTATATATATATATATATATATATATATATATATATATATATATATATATATATATACACCGAGATATGGTTTGTACACAAAAACACAACATAGGTTTTGAACAATTTTCCTATTAATCAAAGAGATAATTTGATTATCTTAACTTGAATAAATACAATGTCACTAGAAAATATGTTAAAAACTTTAATATCATGAACACTTAACAAAAATTTCTGTATTTCACAAAATGAAAAATTGTTTATGTTTTCCGAAGCATAAATTGAAAATGTTAACCAATTTAGATGTCCAAGAATTGGTTCTTGTTTTTTAAACTTATTTATAAATTCAACTAAGTTTTATAACACAGTAACAACCAAAAATGCATAATTTTTTAACAAAAAAAAAGTACATATATATATTTTTTCCATAGTTATTCAATCAACTATAGTATCAGTAGAACATACGTTAAAATAAAAACTTTAACTCAAATAACTATGTGAAAAACTGAAGAAATTATAATGATAACTCGTGAAGCTTTTGTTGAATGTATTTTTCATAAAACAATTACATATTTTGGAGGATGATTGTTCTCAAGCTGTAGTGGTTTCAAAAGAGATTTGCAAAAATAGGCAAGAAAAATAAAAACTGAGAAGCAATTATTTAATGTGGGGAACATTTGTTTCCGTTCATTCAGTCATTTTATATGTTTAATAAATAAATAAACTCCTCTACGAAGAGTTCACAATCATTTGACTTGTTATAGCTCTATTTTGTCAACTTTCAAAATATACAGAATTGAATAACTAGATATCTTAAGGGGTAAATTTAATAGACAGATTTAATTTACTAATAGTGACTATGAACAAAATAAGTATCATGGGGATGTAGCTCAAATGGTAGAGCGCTCGCTTTGCATGCGAGAGGCACGGGGTTCGATCCCCCGCATCTCCAAAATTTCATTTTTTTTTAAGTTAAATTCTGACTTCAAATGTGTAGAACTAAAAAATTCATTCCTTTTTTCTAAGTTAAATTCTAACTTCAAATGTATAGAACTACAGTTAATCACATATATTTGCATTTACTTTTGAAGTATCAATACTTTGACTTTGATTATTTTAATATAACAAATGGATTATTGTAATTCAAAAGAAGATCACGTTTGATTACACTTGAGTATCTCTATCATGTCATTTCCGTTGTGATGACAAAGTTTCTATAGAATTTGACGATTTTGACATTTTTTGGTGAAGGATTCATGATAAAACAAACTCATCTCCGTAGTGATAGCACCATATATCTCTATCAAGTCCGGCCCACCAAGTCAAGTAAAGTTATTTTGCTTTCTTCAAGTATTATCATGTGGCACCAAAGACTCGGACATCTTGAGATTGAAGAGCTCAAGTTTTGTGTAAGTTTATTTAAGGTAATAAGATGAACTCAAATTTCCTTTGTCATGGTTTTCAAGTTGGGGAATAAACTTGTCTTCCTTTTTCTAGGTCTAATACTAATGAGTCTTCTTTTGATGTAAACATTCCAACTTTGAATTCTCCCATTTCAAGTAATAGTGGTTTGAAATACCATGTCATCTTTCTTGATCATTACTTATTTATGGGTCTATCCCACTTGTGGAAATGTGACACATTATCCAAATTCATCCATTTCCACTCTTTTGTCATGACAGTGAGTTTGACAATGCCGCATCACATACCCTCTTTCACAAAAATGACATACATTTTGGTTTCTCATGTCCTATAACCTCCATACGAAACGGTAAATGTGAACGCATGATCCGATCCATTAACCCTTTCATCCACATTCTCCTTTTCCAAGCCCTTAAAACCTATCCAAATTGCCATTCCATTCACCAAATTATACAACAAACCTCCATCCTACTCCAACCTACATATTTTCGGAGCATATTCTACCCTCATAATCATACCTCTCATAAACTCGAACCACATTCCACTTTGTATCTCTTTCTTGGATACCCATTTCACCATCGAGGCTATAAATGTCTAGATCTCTACCAAAAGAATCATCATCCTTTGTCATGTCATATTTGATAAGTCTACTTTCTCATTCAAATCCATGCCACCAAATAACCATCCATCTTATTCCTTTCTTGACTCCACCATCGAAACAAATGTCATTGCTAATCATTTCATGCATCCTTGGTCACACCCACTATGACTGAACCCCTACCCTCCATCAGTCGTACATCACCTGGCCCTACCACTCATCTAGCCAAGACATCACCCGACCTCAACACCACCCATCGTCACCCCTCGTTGTTAACTGAAACCCCTAACAACCCCTATCAACCTTTCCGACTACCTCTCATTGGGGCAAAGCATAATCAAAATTCCAAATTTGATAAAATTAGTAAGAAAATAGAATTTAGCATTCAACAAGAATAATAAAAACATATCTTATCCATATTTATCGAAATAAATACAATATCACTAGAAAATATTTTTAAAGGTTAATATAAACACTTCACAATAAATTCAAAGGTTCTTGTTTTGCTAAAATTGAAACACTACTCCATTAGTCCATTTTTAACATATAATAATAATAAAAATAGCATATTTTACGTCATTAGAGGATACGTCAAAATGTCAATATATCGAATTTGCGAAAGAATTAGATGTTCACAAATTGGTTAGTGTTTTGCAAAAACTATATTCGAAACTACTATATTTTAAGACAGTAAAAACCAAATACACATTCTTTTTTCATATTTATTCAACTAATACGTGAAAAACATTAAGACAACCAACTATTTTATTCGCAATTTTAAATACTACTCCACTTCAAAATACTGTACGAAGAAAATATGCATATTGTGCACACTTTTAGTCTAACAACTATTACTATAGACTATGTAAAAAAAGAGTTGTTAAAATGATAACTTGAAACGTATTATTATCAACAATAAAACGATCACAGAAAGCTCCGAGGATGAAGTGGTTTCAAAAGAAATTTGTGAAAATGGACAAGGAAAAAAAGCCGAGAAAGTGAGTTATAGATATGGGGACCATTTGTTTCCCTTTCGTTAGTAATGAAATAGATTTCACCAAACGTGCTCTCATATAGTACCTCTCATAAATAACCAATCTTCTTAACAAAAGTTGAGAAATATTTGATTTGTTATCGCTCTATTTTATTTGCATCAAATTTGCCTTCTTTGAAAATAATCAGATTTAGATAATTACAAGTCTTATGGTATACGTTAACCATAGAGGTTAAAATAATCAATTAGATTTATGACCAAAGTTAACAAAGCGGGGATGTAGCTCAAATGGTAGAGCGCTCGCTTTGCATGCGAGAGGCACGGGGTTCGATCCCCCGCATCTCCAATTCTCTTTTTTTTTTTTCAAGTTAAATTCTGACTGTATTACACCACACTTTGATTCTTTATATAGTAAATCGATTATTTTTAATGTCAACTGATTATTATTACAAATACAAGCAATTAGATTATGTTACATCTGAAATTCTACATTTTTGGCTTTCAATCATAATACAAGTTAACAAGTAAGATCAACTCATTAAAAACTCAATTCAAGATCGATTTTAAACAAATCCATTCCAAACTTGAGCCTAATATTAGGCTTGTTTATTAAACAAGCTTAAACCTGTGTAACTAAACTTGATTAAGCTTGCGAGCCTAAACGGACCTACACATATATAATAAAATATTATTTTTTACTTTTTATATTAAAATGAATAATTATTTAATAAATACCTTTTTAAGAAATTAAAATATACAGTATACAAGCCGAGCCCAATTCGGTATAAATCTTTACGGGGATAAACAAAGAGCTCCATAACATAAGGTTCGAAACGAGCTGTGCTTGAATGTAGTCAAATTCGGGCTCAACTCGACTCGTTTGAACCCCTATTAACAATTGGCCGTGTCTTTATTTTTAGAATGATTATAATACGGTTTAAATAAGTAAAATCAAATACGTGTAAAATGAATTTCTTACAATTCTGTTTGCTCTTATTATGATTTTTTTGAGGCTTTTAATGATAAAAATCATCACCGGAAACATACAATGAGTGTAACACTCATTGTATTGTATTGCCATGTGATGATTTTATCATTAAAAGGATTAAAAAAATCATAATAAGAGCAAACAGTAATTGTTCATTAAGCATAATCATAATTTATCAAACAACCATAAATAAAAATGCATCAAAACTATTGTTACAACTAAAAAAAAAAAACAACTAAGCAGAATAAGGTATCCGAAGTGCCATTTTTTGTGCGAGCCAAGGCCTCTCAGGAGTTGGGTCGATAAAAGAATGCATCAGAAACTCTTGGGCTTCCTCCTCCATCAATTCTCTAGCCCATGTTACACGGTTTTCTGGACTACTTCCCGGCCCATAACATCTGCATTTGCATTTTTTTTGTCAGATAATTTTTACACATAATTACATTATTATATTGTGAGAAAAAAATATATAAAGTATGTTTCCATTATGAGTAAAAAAAATATGAACATTGTTATTACAAGTAAAATTATACAAGTATGTTGCTGATGTGAGTAATAAATAAAAAGTATTGGTGTTTCCCACATAACGATAAAATGAATTATATACCTATACTCATAAAAACAAGCACTTCTTTCATTTTCGGGTTTCCCCCAATTATGCCAACCATCATGCTTTACGCATGCATCCATGTACGTGTATGCATAAACTACCCGCCCGAATGGCCCCCATGGCCGCCCGAGATACGCATATGCTGCCCCTCCATTCCCCGTTATCACACATCTACATTACAAGAAATAGCAGCTTACTTCCATTTAAAATAAATCCCATTAATTTGACTTTGAATATTTAAAATAAAATAAAAAATCATGATAGTTGAACGCAAACCTTAAAAACACATAACCTGTGGACTCTTGACAAGATTTTCTACTTTGTGCAGTTATATAGCCACCTGATTTGCAGTGAATGTGACAATTCTCCATTAACGCAGTGCTATTTCCAAAAATGAAGTCCACACTTCCTTCAATGTAACAATCTTTTAAATATTGCTTTCCATAGTGTAAATAAAGAGTATCCTGTAAAACAATTGAATTGTATCACATTAAAGAGCTCTTTAACCTTTGATAAGAGTGATAAGAACATCTTCAATCACACTCTATTTAGAGTGTAAAATAGAGTTGATTGGTTCATCTCCAATCCCCTCTAAACTCTATTTTAAACTCTAAATAGAGTATAAAATATAGAATGTGGAAGATGGTATAATTACACTCTAAATTCAAATTTAGAGTGTAACTATTCATCTCTCTATTTATAGAGTGTAAAATCTCATATATTTTACACTCTATAAATAGATTATAATGACAAAACTAGAATGGGGTTGGAGATGCTTTTGAGTTCTCACCTGCCACCCAAGAAACCTGCAATTATAGAAAGCACAACGATCGGCTGTTACTCTGATAGCCACTGCTTGGCCTGAACCCTAGAGTCGAAAAAAAAATTTAGAAGAATAGCGAAAAATATGAATTATGATGAGAATTATTGAAAAAGAAAGAACACCTCAGGAGCAGAATTTTCAAATGTGATATTTTCACTAATGAAATCTTCTCCTTCAACAATTACAGTCCCACATCCGAATGTTCCTGTTCCTATCAATCGCGATGCCTGTTTATACGAAATAACTCGATTTTCATAATCGATTGTGTTATAGATAAATGATAGTTAGAGAGGATTAAAGTCTGGATTGCTTCAATTTCGTGGAAACTGATTGAATAAAACGGAACCTAATTCATTTGTCAGGTATGAACAAGATATTTAGGGTTAGGGTTGAAGGAAGAGAACTCACCTGGTGGTGATCGATTTTGTTGGCGGTGTTATCCCAAGTGATGACAGTGATCTCACGGCTTAATCCGGCGAGAGTGATGAAGTTTTTAGTCTTGGCGACGTAAATAGGCTGTTTGTAGATCCCCGGAGATACACGAATCACAGTCCGGCAATTGTTGCCGAGTGGTACGTCGTCGATTGCTTCTTGCACCGTCCGGTAGTCGCCGGCTCCGTCCTGCGCCACCGTCACTACTCTTGCCATAGTATCAGTTACTGTTTGTAAAACAGGTTCTGGTAATGGAGTCGGTGGTGTTGAGTTAAGATCAATCGGAAGATAGTGTCGGTTTTTGTCAGTGGAAATGAGATCAAGATATAGTGATATAGTTCAACTAGTTTTAACACCCTTTTATGTGGATATAACAAATTATATAGGATTACGTATATATATTTTATATTTTTTTAAATATTAAAATATTATACTTATAGAATAATGTTTTTGTTGTTTTTAGTAAAAGATGTTAGAATATTATGTATAATGTTTTTATTGTTTGTGTCTTGAAAATATTAAAGTATCATATTTGTATAATAATTTTAATGTTTTAGTGGAACATTAAAATATCATATTTATAAAACGTTTTTTGTTGTTTTTAGTTAAAAGTATGATTTACTTACTTAACTACCCTAAAACTAATTCACATACGATGCAACAATGTATGTGCAAAAAAGAAAATTCAGAGAATTGTTGAGTTGAAGTCGGTGTGCACTTCTGATGTTCCAATTTTTTTGAATAAAATTTTCATTTTTTATACTAGCAAAATACTCATTTTAATAAAGGTACATTTAAAGAAAAACCATTTGTTCGTAACCGAAATCCATAAATCATAGTTATAATGAAAGTATCGCGGAATCTCAAATTATAAAAATGACGATGTATGTATATAGTCATGCCTTCACAAATATATGCATAAAGCTTAGTGAGTTCTTTAAAATACAACATATGACACTATACATACAACACACATGCAACGGGTTTGTACCAACCCAACGAGCATCTAGGTTCACATCACTTTAGTTGATCTTGCCATCAACTTGCCCCCCGTGAATGTCTAGACTCAGGGCCGGTCCAAGCATATTGTAACATTAAGATTTTTAAGGTACATGATTTCAAAAATTCTTTTCTAACCTTTGGAAGAAGTCACGACGTGAGCAATGCCTCTCACGTCGTGAGTCAGGGTTAACTTGTTGACCCATATTCCTTGAGTCTCATGACGTGAGACTTTTTTCTCACGACGTGAGAGCGTTCTGATAACCAAAGCCCTAATTTTTTTTTGGGTATTTAATGGAATGAGAGGGTTAGGGTTGTCCACCCTCAGCTTCCCTCACTCTCTAAGCCTCCATAAACCCTAATCATGACCTTACTTGAAATCCTTAGCCATTTTGGTGCATTTTCTATCTTGAAGAAGAAGTGAAGAAGGAGGAAAGAAGTGTTAGGTGGTGGAGTTTGTGAAGGATCGTCGTCATCATCATTATCATAATCTTTTCTTCCTGTTGGACCTTTGTAAGTCCTGAAGTTTCAAACTTTATTGCATTGCATGGCTAGATCTAAGTTTTTATCTCATTTCTTTATGTTTAAGTAAGATGGAGTGAAGTAGAACCATAAAGTCAACAACTTTATGGGTTCTAAGGACCCTTTGAGCATAATATTGTCCAGATCCAAGTTCTGGGTGAAGTATTAGAGTCATGCATGAGAATTTGGTGCTATTTCCTTACTTGTGACCTAGAATGGAGAGAGGACATGCATGGTGCATACATGTCTGCAAAGTAAGCATTTTTATGGGCCTTTAAGGCCCCCTTAAGCTTCTGGAAGAGTTGGGTTTAATGGCTTAAGTACTTAAACCCTTTGTTTTAGGCTTCAGATTGAAGTCACGACGTAATGGCGCACGACGTGACAACGATTAAGCCCGTAAATCGCTGAGTTTTTGGAACTCACGACATAACATGATGGTCCACACGTCGTGAGGTCAGTCCAGTAAGAAATCTGTGACTGAGTTGGCTGAGTCGAGATCGAGTTGCTGGAATCAGACATGGTGGACTCTCACGACATGACCAAGGGTTGGTCACGACGTGAGACTCGATATTAGTATTTTTGACTGATGACTTTGACTTTATGGGTTAACTCTTTAACCTGGTTTGACTTTAGGGTGGGTCCTAGCCATGAAGGGGTAAAATGGTCATTTACCCCAAGGATAACATGCTAAGGACCTTTAATTATGGAACATCACCTTAATTGCTAATTAAGGTTGTTTGTGGATATATGTAGTATGAAGAGCTTTGCAAAAGCAACCGAATACGAGTTTTATCCGATTACCAATTAACGTGAGTCTTCTCACCATACTGATGGGTCGAAGACACTAATGTCGGCCCACTGATCTGTATATATAGGATGTATGTGTTTATGTGACATATTGGGTTATGATTGTATGTTATATGCATGTATTTATAAACAAATTAATAAATTTATATAGGATGTATGTATTTATAAACAAATTAATAAATTTAACTTAAATATTGTAAAATTTTTTTGCTAGGTTTTTGTTAAAATGAGTAGTCGTTCATGAACTAGACTATAAATATATTATTTTCTTTATGAAAATAGATTTATATATAAAAGATTTATATATAAATGAGTTCCAACAAATTTAACTTAAATACAGTAAAAATTTGCTAATAATTTTAACTTGAATATTATAAGTACACTACATAACATTTCTAGTTCTTTTTAATATATTTACATACGCATATAAAACCATAGTTATCTAAAACATAGAAATACCTAAAAGAATTCCATTTGGATAGATATAGAATCTGTAATAATTTAGTAAAAGCCAAGTGGTTACTAGGTACGATCTTTACTATCTTTTAAATATATTTGTATAAACTAAATATAAAATAAAGTTAACATTTGAAAAAGTAAAAATTACGCTTCAGAAGGGATAGAACGTGGGTGTATTTGCTTCTTACCAACAAAAATAATAGATATACATAAGCATTTGAAAAATCATGTAAAGTAGAAAAAAATCCATGCTACGTAAATTATTTTTCTCATGTAAAGAAAACAACCGCAAAATTGTGAAGTACTTAGATATTTTGTGTAAATTATGGGGACAATTTTTGTAATTGGTTTTGTTCAAACCTACTAAAATACAAAAGTGTTGCACATCTGGATTATTTTTGAAAAAAAAAAACTTAACAGGGATCTTTTCTATAAATAAAAAAATTATAGGGATTAACTCTGCCAAAATATAAAACTTTTATTATAGAGACTAAATCTATGTAGACTTCGTTGGAGCGATTAAATCTGCCAAAATGTTTTGTAGGGATTAAATCTACTAAAATATAATACCTTTGTTTTAAGGACTAACTATATCAAAATGTAAAAGTTTTGTAGCAAAACTATGAAAAAGGAAAACCGTACTCTTCATAAGCTTCATGAGCTTTAATATATATATATATATATATATATATATATATATATATATATATATATATATATATATATATATATATATATATATATGGTATAACTAAATTTAGAAAAGTATTATCTATGTTGTGGGCAAAATTCCAACCAGGTTGCTTTAAAAAGACAATGATACGTCTTACCAAGTAGACCATAACCATGTTTGTTTGTATTTTTCGACAATATAATATATACATGAATACTAACATACATGAAAGTTGGGCCCCAAAACACCATGGGGGGTTTGGGTCGTTGCCCAGGTTGTCGCCCCTCTTGGGTCAGGTCTGTCCAGACCTACAACACTTAATGTTGATCTTATCATCAACGCATCCTCGTGAACATCTAGACTTACAACGTTAAATGTTGATCTTGCTATCAACTTACCCTATGACCCTCAGTATAAAGTTAGTAAGCCTGCATATTGGCCATTCACACAAAGTTGTATGCCTCAGTCCATCACCAATATGTTGGCATATACACAATACAGATAATAGAAAAATCAGCATCACATGTAACAATCTATATGTCTACCAGCCCAACAACATACAATAGTCTAACAACATCTTACCACCCTAGGACACATACTGTAATATATAGTATAGTGTTGAAACTCACCTGAATTAACCAGTAAAAGCTCAACAAGAAACCTTAGCAGCATAATAGCTAACACAAGCTACCTAATTCCAAATTGAGCCATCCTTAGTCAAATGCTCAATTCCACCCAAGTTTGGCCAAAACTTAAACTATTAAAAAAAGTCAATGGTGAGCAGTCAAAGGCTCACCACGCCGTGGCAAACCTTTGGGCGCGTTGTGGCCAGGATACATCAAAATAGATGCGGGACCTATCGTCTATCGCGTCGTGGTTTCTCGGCTTAATAGCCTTTTCCATTAAGGACTTAATCCTTTAAATCTATAGCCATGAATCTTAGATCTAGTTATTCTAAGTGACTTAATGGATAAAGTTTCCAACTTTATCCATTACATGGTTCAAACAACCAAGATCTAGACTTTACGTATTAAAGAGTCTAAGAATGCATCTTTCTTGACTTAATCCATTAATTCCAAGCCTCCAACCTTCAGATCAAAATCAACATGATGTTTAGATGGCCAAAGTTTCCAATTTTATCCATAATAATGCCACAAACTTCCAAGATATAAAACTATAAGCTAAGAAATGTCCAAAAATCCATTTTCTTTACTCATGGGGTAATGAAAGTTCTTGCATACACTCTTTACTCCACCACATCACTAGATATGAACTTTAAACACAAGCTAAAGCTCATGGAGTTCTTCAAACTCCATGGAACAAGTCACAAAGGGACCAAAACTCAATACAATGGACCAAAACACCAAATACTCATGCATCTAATGAAGAAACACAATAAAACAAGGATTTTTGCAACTCACAAGTGTCTAAAGGGTTGATGAAGGTTGATCTCTTTAGTTGCAGAGCTTTAAAACTAAGTATTTGAAGAAAGCAACACCCAAAAGCCATAAAAACTCAATAATATGTATAAGAGGAGAAAAGATGAACTTGATTTATGAAGGGATGCTAGGGTTTGCTGGAAAGATGAGTTCGTTGATGCAATGGTGGCTGCAAAATGACCTATAACAAGGGATTGAAGCCTTTAAATTTGAAAAAAAACTCTAATTTAATGGGATTGGACTACACAACTCACACTAACGTGGATGCTGAAGTAAATGTTGAGGACTTACCTGATCAGTCGAATGTAGATGATGAAGTCTATTTTATGGACTTGTCATTTATTGATGTCAAGCCACTTCAGACAGTATTTCCAGACACACATACTGATGTTTAGGGGGAGCAAGTTCCTCAAGGGGAGCCCAATGACATTGAATCTGATGAAAATAATGTTCTACTAAG